ATGTATTGTCTGCACTGTATTAGCAGTATATACTCTATATAGAGTATATACTGCTAATACAGTGCAGACAATACATTTACAATTATACTAACATGAATGTATTAAATGATCTGTATGTAGCCCTGTACTATGGATCATTTAACCCATTCATGTTAGCAGAGGATCATTGTAAATGTATTGTTGCAGGCACTCTATATGTACATGTACTATATACTACATATAGAGTGCACTGAACAATAGATTTACAATTATCCTCTGCTAATATGAATGGGTTAAATGATCCGTAGTACATGATATGTAGTCCTGTACCCCCTTTTCCACTTACAGAGCTAGGTTATTTTTCTTTTAAATAAATATTAATGTAATTTTATTGGTATCTATCTACCAGTAGCCTCCTCATTTCCCACCCTCGGCTTATATTCGCGTCAATACTTTTTCCCAGTTTTTTTTGCTAAAATTAGGTACCTCGGCTTATATTCGGGACGGCTTATACTCGAGTATATACGGTATATATATATTTCTTTTGAAGTTCTTTAAATTTCTGTAGAGTGCAAACCTTATTAGAGTTGTATTCAGTGGAAAAACATATGTAAGAAGTGATATTGACTATCGCGTTGTATTATCAGGAGAGCCGTGCAGTGTTAACCTTTGCACTAGAGAGTACAGAGAAGAAGGTGTTGATGGTTTGCTCCCGAGGCATGTATTCCCCTGCAGAGGTAAGGCTATAAGATTTTTATATGGTTTTGTCTTTATTAAAGCGCAATTGAAACGTTCCCTTCCTCCTAAAGCAGGTATAATGTGGTGCTCTCCCCTCCTAATACACAGACATGGCAAACCTCTCACAGACATCAGTACATCAGTACACAGTGACCCCTCTAATACACATATATAAGGACGCATACCTTTGCTCTCCTCTTAACACATTTCTGTTGTAGAAACTCACATCTCTTTAATGCAGAGATATCAAGGCACAGACATCTCTATTCCTCTTACAGAATTCTGGGAGCACAGACTCCTTTATTTCTCTTATAACAGCAGCTTCAGGGCCTCTTCTCCTATTAAACTGATTGGACCCCTTGCCTTCTGATGCACAGATGTCTTACCGTAGTATTAATGTCTCCTGGCTGGGTCATGAACTGCAAAATGAATTCTAGCATACTCTACTCTGTAAAGTTACTGATCTGTAGCTGCCGAGTTTGGCTCCTGAATGTGGCTGGCTTCTGTGTATTATGCAGATAGCTGTATTATATTGATGGTTCTTGGATGGCCATGGTACTGCATTATGCTATCATTTGTATTTTTGGACAGTACTGAGTGGTCTCTAAAGAGTGATGAGATATCTGGCAGCCTCTGAGTCTGCACAGTAATGCAGAGTCTCCATATGACCCAACGGCTGCTCTGCTGATTGTTGATTGGTTCAGAGAATCCATTATGCTGCAGACACTTCTTGCAATGGTCACTGACAAGCAGCAGGAAATGGAACCCCCTGTAGAACTTGCATATGAAAGCAAAAATGCAAGCACCTCTAGAATGGGGATTACAAGCACACAGTACGAAGACTAAACATTAGAAAAATGGCTAAATACACAGATGAAATGCATATAGGGGAGCTGTTCTGCCTGCCAAAGGATTTGTATTAATGTCCATCAAGAACGGAGGTTCACACAGACCTATAACACAGCACAGCCAGGTGGATGACACCACTTAAGAAGTACAGTAGTATCCTCTCTCCGCCCCTCAGCCGGCTGATCGGACAGTGAAGGAGCAGCAGCTGACTGATGAGTTCATCCTCTTTCTGTCTTCTGCTTTCTATTCTTTTTAGCATGTTTCTTTATTACATTTTGATGCGGCACGCCTGTCTCCCAGAGTGATTGTAGCTGTATAGGGGGATGCAGTAGGCCGATGCCAAGTCAAATTCAGGTCCTTACACTAGTTGCATAAAAAAAAAAAAATATTATAATTACTTATTAATGAATATAAAGCTGCTTTCATTTGTGTTTTATATCTGCCTGGAGTTCAGCTTCTATTTTTAGCACTGGTAGACTGGTGCTGGTAGTTGTTGACCTATGCCAGCGTTTCTCAATCTTTTTTTCAGCCATGACAGCCTTTAACCCCTTCATGACTGAGCTTGTTTTTAGTTTCTGTTCGTAAATGACTGACACACTTTTGACATTTTTGCTGTGTGATTCTTCCACGTCAGTAATATACTTTCTTACAAAGTGCACCCACACATATTATATATTGTTTTTTAGAGGACAGATAGGGCTACATATTTATATCACATATGTGTGTCTAACGCCTCACTTAGGACAAATAAAATATAAAAAAAGAGAAAAAAAACGTTAAAAAAAACACTTTTTTCCCAGTTTTGATTTGTAGTATTTTTTTACAACACCAGCACAGCTAAAAAAATGCAATAAATACATTCATTTATTTGTCCCTTATTTTTTTTTTTTTTTTTACACATTTTTTTATTTTTTTTACACTTTTCACAATTTTTTTTTTTTTTTACACTTTTCACTTTTTTTTTAAATTAAAAATTGTATTTTATTTATTTAATTATATCAAACAGTCATTGTGAATTAATCTCACTGTTACTGCTTGATAAATTAATACATTTTTGGTTATTATCAGGCTGCTTCAAACTTCAGAACAGCCGATAATAAGTTAGTGACACTGATCCTGCAGCAGTTCAGGATTCAGCTGTCACTATAGGTTTTCTGATTGTTGCAACAACGATCAGCAAACAAACATTCTTCTTCCAGGAATAGATACATTATAGGAATAGACACATTTTGTATCTATTCATGAAAGAAAAAAAGAAAGAAAAAAAAGCCAGTATAGCTTGAGAGAGATATCTCTCTCGATCTATACGAGCTGTCAGAATGCCGGCATGTGTGTCCGCTTTGCTTTGACTCTCAGACACCCGATATTAAGGTATCGGGTGTCTGAAAAAGGTTAACCCTTTCATTAATGAATGCCTCTGTAGTAAGGGCATCTATTAATGAATGGTAAAAGCTGATTCTCAGCGTTTAACAGCCCTCTAAAGAAGCAAATAACTCGTCACGTACAGTGTACGTGACAAGTCATTTGGTCCCTTTGTGGCTGGACGTACAGTGTACGTCTCCCGTCACGAAGGGGTTAAAACTATGCAGAATCTTGAGGCATCCTAGTCTAAAATGTACAAAATCTATACCAGACCCTTATCTTATCTTATCTGAGATAGGGGTCTGGTATTGATTTTAAGGGGGATGCTACACAAAAAACTATGGGGTTTCCCCCTTTCACATCAGTGCCCCCTTCAAATCAGGTACTCCCCTTTACATTGGGTGCCACCTTCACATCAGAAGACTCCCTCCCCTTTCACATCAGAAGACTCCCTCCCCTTTCATATCAGAGCCCCTTTCTACATCAAGAGCCCCACTTTACATTCGGAGCCCCACTTCAAATCAGAGTCCCCCTCTTTCACAATCATTTCCATGGTGCTGGTGGTCCGCCTGCCTGCCACATGATGCTGTGGCGTGTTGAGAATGGATGCCCTATCCTACGCCCCATACCAACTATACGAGTGCCTAGTCATCCAATCAACAGTCACCCCCACTGCTCCCTCAGCCATTGTTGGGCATTTTAGGAGCTTTACAAAAGAACAGAATATCATACTTCTATAAATAGGGGTGGCAGTTCAGTGGCTTGAGTATCTCTGGGAATGGTATGTAAGGGTGGGGGTGCTTGGATTTGTCAGAAGACGCCCAAATGAACCAAACATTGTTCCAGTACTAACCTTGCATGCATAGTTTTGTATCTTTGCATCCATACTGTCCTACCTATTTGCAGCAAAATACCTGCAGGATAACATTTACCCCTGTGTAACTGCCATAGTGACACCCAGGGGCATAAATACAGATCACAGGGCCCCGTAGCAAAAATATGATAAACTGTAAATAATGACACAAAAATCTCTCATCTGGTGCATCTGGCATCAGCTATCCAACCGCTCCAACCCTTAATGATACAGTACTGTGTTATCTTCACATGTTTAATTTGCCTCAACAGCCTAATGGGGCCCCTTTCCACCCCCAGGCCCCATAGCAGCTGCCTAGACTGCTATACTTACGCCACTGGTGACATCACACAGCTCTGTCCTTGTGTATAGGTAATTCTAGACCTAGGTAATCCCAAGGCTCCCTTGTAATTGGTTCTATCAAACAGTGTTGGGACTTGGAGTTTCTGGGGTGGACCCAAAGGCTGCTGACAAAGGCACTAGACCTCTTATCCTGTGCAGTAGCTCACCTCTCTGTCTGCTCTGATACCTCTCACAGCCTTTTCATCATATCTTGGAAACATCTCTGGCAAATATCTGACATCCAGCTGTTGCTGCATCCGCACTGATAATTCGGCAGCCATGGTTTTAGCTATTATAGTTCTAGGTGGGGTGCCAAAAAATTCATAGCCTTTCACAATGACTGCTGCCTCTTTCCATCCTGTCTTATGTAATCTCTGTACCAATCTCTCTGAGCTGGAGTGTATCTGAATTTATCTCATAAGTTATAGATTCTCCCGGCTGAATACTGATTATATGGACCATAAACCTCTGTATGTGGCACTGCGGTAGCCGTCATTGCCCGCAATAGCTCTTGTCTGTCATTGTGACCCTGAGCAGATGGCATAGAGTCTGTCTCACAGCTCCCTTCTGTCACCTTGCTGTAAGGAGAATATAGCACTTGTCTCCTCGCTTATTTCTGCCTCTGTCACCCTGCAGTAGTAATGACAGACATACAATGTCATGGCTACTTTCTGTGTAACCCTGCAGAGGGACAGAAAGACGCCATGTCTTAAAGCTCCTTCTGGTTCACCCATGCAGAGGGAGAGATATAATCCCTATTTTATAGCTTCCATCTGTGTGTCACCCTTCATTGAGGGCAGATAACATGTATCAGCTCTTCTGTCTCTGTCACCCAATAGTGGGCTGGACAGGCTGCAATGTCATTGTTCCCTTCTTTGTCTCCTTGCCTGAGAGGGGGACAGACTTCATGTCTCACAGCTCCCTTCTCTCTGGGTCACCCTGCATTGGGAGGGACAAGCTCCATGTCCCATTGCTCCCTTCTGTCTATCTCACCCTGCACTGGGAGGGACACACTCCATATCTCATAGTTACCTTTTGTCTGTATCACCCTGCAGTGGGAGGGACACACTCCATATCTCATATGTACCTTTTGTCTGTATCACCCTGCGCTGGGAGGGACAGACTCCATGTCTTGTATTCCCCTTCTGTCTGGTCACCCTGCAGTGGGAGGGACAGACTCCATGTGCCATTGCTCCCTTCTGTCTATATCCCCCTGCAGTGGGAGGGACAGACTCCATGTGCCATTGCTGCCTTCTGTCTATATCCCCCTGCAGTGGGAGGGACAGACTCCATGTCTTGTATTCCCCTTCTGTCTGGTCACCCTGCAGTGGGAGGGACAGACTCCATGTGCCATTGCTCCCTTCTGTCTATATCCCCCTGCAGTGGGAGGGACAGACTCCATGTCTCATCGCTCCCTTCTGTCTATATCCCCCTGCAGTGGGAGGGACAGACTCCATGTCTCAACCCCCATCTTTCTGTGTCACTTAGCAGTGCGAGGGACAGACCCCCCGTCTCATGGTCCCCTTCTGTCTGTGTCACCCTGCATTAGGACGGACAGACCCCTTCGTCTCAAGGCCCCTTCTGTCTGTGTTGCCTTGCAATGGGCAGAATAAACTGGTCTCATGCCTCACTTCTCTGTCACCCAGCAGTGGGAGGAACTGGTGGCGTTTAGCCTTTCCCACTTTTCTCTATTCCTTGTGTACAGATTCTCGCTCTCCTCTGCTAGTAGAACCCCCCCCCCCAGGAAGAGCGAGTGAGAGACAATTTAATAAAATGATGTTAAGAGAATCATTAAAATTGAACAAATAGCTGCAGCTCCCTCTGGCAGTTCATAAACTGAGCGGGTAGATATGGGGGAGGGGGAAGGGAGTGGGTGCGGGGAGCCTGGGGGTTTAATAATGTGTCTTCTACTCCGTGTGTAATACAGATAGCTGGCTTCCCTCTCTCTTTACAGCTCCAGCAGTGTGTTGCAGCCGCCCAAATCTCTGCCCAAAAAATCTTCCAGTTCTACAGGGACTCCGTGAAGAGGAGATATTCCAAATCGTGACCGAAGGAAAGCTCTCCAGTCCCATCATCCTGGAAGGATTCCTCTACATAGACCTCAATTAGCCTTTATTTGCTTGTGCTAGAAATAATTCCCGGAGCCCCCTTTTTTTTTTTTTTTTTTTTTTTTTTATACTTGCCAAGTGTTTTTTTTTATGTGCTCTTATCTCATATATGCATGGCTTACACATCTGCCCACGAAGCATCCCTTAAAGGAGAACATCAGTAATCAACTTTAAATTTGCATATTCTCGGGCTATGTATTTCTTTGGTTTAAAAGTGAACTTCAGAAGTCTGCATTGTGTAGTTTAGAGTGGACCTGTCAAAATAATCGCACTGCACACAACTTAATAGGACACAGTATTACTAATGTCACATATTAAACACAAAAAATGAGTCATGAATAACAAACAATTCAGTACCAGAACTCCCTCATTTGACCTACAACTTGGGCAACCTGGACCGTATGGTCAGTGGTGGCACCACAGCCCCTTGGGTGTTTTTTTTTAATGTCATGTTCTTAATAAACGTATAAAATGCCTGCAACTACTAAAGCAGTAATATGTAAATGCAGAAACTGCCTTTCCGATTACTGACGACAGTGATCTCTCTCTACAGAGGTCCGACACGTCCCCTGCTGAGTTAGATCGGTTAGACCTAATCTACCAGTAAATGGTGGGAACATAACTTCCAGCCTAATAGATTTTGGATCAGATCATGGAAATTGGTTTAAAATGAACATTTATCATAAGTCTGCTTCTGTTGTTGTACACACAGCCCTGGTGTTCTTACTTTATGGGAGTCAGGTATCGATTTTGCATATTTGGCTATGCCAACTTTTGTAAACATTAGAGGGGGGTCATCTATAAAAGTTCAACTCAGACGCCACTCACACTACACAAGCCTCCCTAGATTTCCCCAGTGGAGGAGATTCCTATATTCGTCAGCGCCATCTAGGGGTGCTAGTGTCATGCGAATGGCATCCATCGGGTGGAACTTTTACCTTTTGTGTCTCAGTTATACTGCATTGCCCAGTCACACACTAATATAGTCACCTTGTAAGTGGTAAATATTCCACTCAACCCCCCAATACCCTCAACAGCTTCACTATAATAGCTGCCCCCATCATATATTTTGAGGACCACATGTACAGATACTTTTCCAGCTCCAAGACTAGACTAGCAAAAAAAAATCTAACTTTAGGAGGCAGCTGTCATTTGTAAGGGGTAGACGTAGCCAGTGGCGCCATAAGGTGGGTGCGGCCCGAACCCGTGTGCCACCATTGGGTGACACCAAAATGACTGACAGTCATTTTGGTGTCACCCCTTATGAAAAGTTGGGCACTCGGTCACGGACCGAGAGCCCAAAAGTGTCAGGAGAGAGGAGGGGACCCGGCGGCATACCTTATCCCGCCAGGTGAACGTCCCCTCCTCTCTCTGCCGGCGTCCATCACCAAGACATCCGCCGGTAGGCGTCAAAAAGACCACAGCGCATGCCGATGACGGCATCGCGCACGCGCGTGATTAAGTCACGGTGGGGTGTCACCCGGTCCCCGCCCCCGGGTGACACCCAGCCTCGGGATGCCACTGCACGGAGCTCCTGGGATTTGTACATCCCTGTTTTAATGTATGGGTTTTATTTTTAAATATAAATAAGGGATGCACCAATACCATTTTTTCAAGTACAGATACTGATACCTGTCCAGGTCCTCACAGACACAAGTACTGATACATTTTTGTTTGTCATGTGACAGTTTTTCTAAAACAATACAGACTAATGATTTCAGGACAGTGGTGGAGAGCCAGAGACAGGCCCCAGCTGCAACCGCTGCAACCCTGGTAGTTCTAGAGAAAATGCCAAGTATCGGCACTGGTATCTAAACATCCCTAGACACAACATTTTATGCAAGGGAAACCAAGTCAAGCAAAACTATATCTCATCTTTCAAACCCAGAATTATGGTGTGCTTGGCAGGATTTGTGCTCTGAGCACCCCCTTTCACCACCTGCCGGGATGAGCTCTTACTAACAATCTAGGCCTTTCTTCTTCAATTTTCCTTCTTTCACATACAAAAGAGAAAAAAGTGCCAGTCGCCTCCATTCAGTTTATTTTGGAGCCGCGTTGCTTCCCATACTAACATTTATCCCATCACTTCACCAGAGACTGAAGACATAATTGTGTCTCAGACTGGTGTAATTGAGGCTTGAGTCATGCATGGAATAGTGGAGGAGCGCTCCAATTGTCATATCCGCTGTCTGCAGGTGACAGGTACAGGTTAATCCCACAACCGCTCTATCTCCGCTGTCTCCTTTTTCTGTTCTATATCCTCACTCTTTCGCAAACAGCCTCCAGGAGGCCATATTGATTGTTTCCCAGGATCCTTTGCTGGAGCGTGGAGAAAACATTCCAGATTTAGTTTGCTGTGACATTGACACGCTGAAATGAAATGTACTGTTGGCAGAACGGTGCATTCATATAGAACTGTAAATAGGTTTTTTTTGTAAACAGTTATTTTGTGTTGTGATTGTTGTGATATTTTTTTTTACAGCAAATAAACATATTTAACGTCTTGTTTGTTGTGGTATTTAAAGAAACCCATTCAGAGAAAGTGTTTGAGTTTGGAAACGTTTTTTATGGGTCTATTAGACCCCAAGTGTCACCCTTCCACTTCAAAGAAGCTATTCAAGCACAGATCGCGCTTCAGTAGCTTCTTTCCCTGGCTTCTCTAGCCAGGTAGTGACAGATGAGGAGCCAGATGTGACGCAATCAGCCTCGCTTCCGGCTCCATTCAGCGGGCAGGAGAGCAGCGTATGCATGTTCACCGGTCTCTCTCCCTGATTCACGCCGACAGCCGCGATGCCGGTCCCAGGCCTGCAGGAGGAACAGTTGACCCAGGAAGCAAGGCGGGGGTGTCAAATGAGACTGTGACTGGACAGTGAAAGGAGATGCAGCCCACCTCTCTGTCACGCTGCTTTAACTCCTATCGACATGCTTCTTGTCATTACATATACTGATTGGCTCCTTGTGCTTAGGGGGTGGCTTTAATGGCACCACAAAGATTGTATAACTGCACCAAAGGTTACTATAATAGACACAAGGAGACAAATTGCCCAGCATGCTCCGTCTCCATGGAGCTGGGTCAGGGGAGGTACTGGATTCCCCAGAATCATGGACGGGTTGGGGGGCTAAAGACCAAGCCTCCATAGGTGAAGCAGACCGTCCGGGAGGCTGATAAAAAGGTAGCCGGTGGGGGCCCTCTTCCTGCAGATAGAACAAGGCTCCCGCACAAGAAAGGTTCCAAGGGAACATTACCATCCAGAGGAGGAAACACAAATACTGACGGACTATCTGGGGGACCGCCTTTTAAACTCTGATGAGATTGTGTTTCCTGCCTCTGGGAATGGAGTCATGTTTTCTCATGTGCTGTCCTGGAAACGCGATAAGGGGAAAAGGATTAATATCCTAATATCCACATACAGAAAATCTGTAATAAATCAAGGCAACTGGACTTGCTGTATTTTTATTGATGTTTCGTTGGTCATCTGACCAGCTTTCCCAATTCAGAATTACTTGTACAAAAATTATTTAGGAATAAATATGGTGAATGTTGCTCCAATCAACATAGTCTGTTTATTATAACCAGAGACCTTATGGAGGTAAGGTGTTGATTGCATTTGCATGATTGGAGCTAGCAGGTGTTATTAAGCTGCCCATAGGAGGTGTTAAAAAAGCATTGTATGTGGCAGACAATAGATGCCCCCCCTGCCCCTCCTTTGAGGACAGTCAAGTACACATCCTAGATAGGGAGGATGACTGGTTGTGGTGCAAAAGGGGCCATTTATGTTACAATGGAGAAGCCAAGCTTGAATAGAGATGGGGGAGGGGCAGGGGGGACATCTATTGTCTGTCACATACAATGCTGTTTTAACACCTCACTCTGGGCAACTTAATAAGAGCTGCTAGCTCCAATCATGCAAATGCGAACAACACCTTACGTCCATGAAGCCTTTGACACCATGCTGCTTATGATAAACTGATTATGTTGATTGGAGCAACAGTCACCATATTTATTCCCATTATTTTTCCTTTGGAATAGAGAAAGCTGAAAAAGTCTTCAAGAAAAATACCGCAAGTCCAGTTGCCTTAATTTATTTTTTACAGATATACCATGCAGAGCCGTAGCTAGCTCTTTTTGCACCAGAGGCAAGAATATTTTAATTTTTTTTTACTGTTGGGTGGGCTCCGGGGAAGTATCAGGCATTTAAACAGACCCTTAATATTTCCCTTTTAAAATAGAAAAATAAATTGATGACACAGAGTGATCAATCTTTTTCTGCAGACTGTTCTAAATGAATGGAAAGTACAGAAGCTTCCCATTCATTCAGAAAATATTTTCTATCAACCAGTTTCTGAATGGGGAGAAGCCTCTGTACAGAGTGCTACTACCCATTCAGAAATTGATGAATGAACAGGAAGTGATGTAAAGCACTTCCTGCTGATTCATAACAGGGGACACATAGTACTCTGTGTCCTCGGTTATTTACAAACACTGGAGTGATCAGCTGATCTCTCCAGTGTTTGCTCTGCCGCTCAGCCCTACACAAAGGGGCGATACAGCCTGCAGCTTCCACTCGGATCCCCGCTGCTCTCCCCCACCTGTGTGGGCACAGACAGCGGAGATCCGAAGAGAAGTGAAGCATTGAAGCCAGCAGGGGGGACGAAGGGTGAGGAGCGAGCGAGCTGTCGACTGTCAGATCCTGGCCAAGCGGTTTTCTTTTTTCTCACCCCTCAGCCATTCTAAAGTGGCGGTTCCCTCCTCTGCCCCCCCTGCTGGCTTCAGCGCTTCACTCCTCGGATCTCCGCTGCCTGTGCCCATACAGGCGGGGATACATAGGAGAAGTTGCAGGCTGTGCCGCCCCCCTTCTCCCTGCCGCTCTGAGCCCTGGCTGCGCCCCCTCGCACCTGCGCCCGAGGCACTCGCCCAGCTACGGCCCTGATACCATGACTTGGATGAA